ACATACCAAATTTTAAGGTGATTCTTGATTTGGAAAGTCTTAAATGTCATGACTATTATTGTTTTCTTATGAAAAAAAAAAAATTGGAAAAGCCAAGAAAATGGGTTAAGCTAAAGAACGAATTTAGCCTTGGTGACAAGCAAGTTTTAGGGGCGTTTCTTTTGCCAGTGAAGGTTGCTAACGAACCGTATCTACGCTCCTTTAAGTACAACGCGCTGAATTCTGTTCTGTTTACTAATTATCGCCTGTGTAAAATAGGATCGTTTCTAATCCCAACTGCACCTTCTGTCATCAGCTAACAGAAACCATATCTCATATTTTGTTCGGTTGTTCTTTTTCAAATTCTTTTTGGCATGAGGTTAATGAAAAAATTTTGAGTAAAATCAAGAGTTGCAGAAGCCTCTCGCTTACATATTGCAATGTTATTGTTGGGTCTTTTGAGGAGGAGATGGATCTATAGTAAGTTTAGGAAAATCTTTCTTGTGGACTTGTCGATGTAAAGAAACATTACCTTCCTTGAATCACTCTTTTAAGAATTTTGGTAATTAAATATGAAACTGAAAAACATATATACTTCAAATTGAATAAAACAAATTTGATTAAAGAAAAGTGGAAGATTTTTGAGAAAACAATTTTATCTAATAATTAAAGTCGGAAAACGCTACTATTAAGGAAAATCGTTAAGTTGATTAAGTATGCAGAAAAGAATTGACATTATCCATTTTCACACTTAATTCAATATGGTGTCATTGTTTACTTTTGTAACTAAACTTTATTCATTCTTCTGTAAATTAATTGTTGAAAAAAGAATTGTTATTGCTGTAATCGTGGAAACAAAACAACAACAACAACAACAACAAACTGTAATTCAATTTGACTGGTGTAATTGTATTGTAATATGTGTATTGTAAGTAGTGCAAGTTAACGTAATGTAAGCATCGTGTAAGAAGACGCCACTTTAACTCGTTTGGAAAATAAAGTTTGGTTTGAAAATTCAGCCGAATGCGTGCGGAAATTATTGGATTCTTTATCATAAAACAAATAAAGAAGCCTTGACTGTGCTCTTTTCTGTTGTAAAGCACTTAGGAAGCGGTAGAGCTCTAAAGAAGTAGGGAAAAACGTTGGTTTGGTTTGAATGGAAAAGACTGCTACGCAGGCTGAGCTATTTGTTAGGCAAAAGGATAGTTTCACCTGTTTTCTTATGTTGAATGTTTTAGAAGCAAAGCTCTTTCAATGTGGTTTTCTTGAAGGACATACAGTTAATGTGTGAGAAAATAACTGTTATTGATCGTCAACACAGAGAAATTTAGTCACCATTATGGCAATTTCGAGCCCTGGGATGGCTTTTAAAATACTATGCCTGTGTTAAACCTGCAGCGTTGTAAAAGAAAGGGGTAAATTGGCCTTTTTTTTTGTTTTCCCGGGGGCCATCTCTGGCTGCAACGTGGGATTCCTGCAATGGCGCGGTTTGGCGGAAACACTGGGTCTTAGGTGGTAAGCGAGGTTGGGAGGATTGTTTCAAGGAAGATCTTTTGGTTATGATGGTTGACTACTATAATTATTATCAACTTAATTCTCGAGTACACGTATATGATGATCATGTTCTTGTACAGTAGAAAATCTTTGTGAACATTTTTTCTTTGTTCTTGTATGTGTAGACTGTGCACCAAGTTTTACCAGTTCACCTAACAATGGCAATCCAGTGTAT